AACTCCAAACACTCGTTCACTCGATGAAAAGACGCTGTGAAGCTGTCTTAAAAAATAAGGGTTATCCTACTAAGTATTGATTGTGTAAGTATCACTTTAAAAAAATGCAAATCTAAGATAGATCTGACTATTTGTTGCATAACCTTTTTTGTAATACAGATATTGTAATACTGTATTTATTATTAAATTCTACATTAAATTACCTTCAATTTGATATATAAACGTTTGTATTTAAGTGAAAATTAATATACTCTACAAGCACACAAAGTTGAAAAACATGAAACTTTCAAAAAGTGTCCACACTTTTGGCCACCACTGTATATTTAATTTCTCTCTTTTGGGTGAATGACATTTACAGAATATAGACCGTAAGCTCCTATAGCAAAAGACTCTACGTAATTTCTTAAAAGTAGTGTAATCTGTTTTATAATTTTTTTAAATTTGAACCTTATCCAAACATATTTTCAAAATTTGCTAAAATGGTAGCCGGCTAATACGCTAGTAGCATATCTAGTTAAGTTATCGTTTAAAAAATACATTTATTTAATAGTTTGGCTTCTTAATTAAGTTAATGGAATTTTATAGTATGATAATTTATTTAAAAAAAAATATTTTACTTAATTCTGTTTCTTATTTCATTATATTCTTCTCTACGGGGAGCAATATTTTTCTTTCAAAAACAAGTTGTACTTTTTTCAAATAAAATAAACCTTTTTTCTTACTCTTATTTGGAAACAAGTTTATTTATCAAAAAAAGAATAATAATAAAATAAAGTAAACAAATATTGAAAGCTGTGTTTTTTAAGAAATAGTGTGTAGAGGGAGGATTTTCATTTGTGATAAAATGCACCCAAATAAAAATTGTGAAACCAATAAAAATAAAATTGTTTTATATTATGTCTCCTTGTAAAAAACATTAAAAAAAACTTTACTTAATTGCTTCTCTTTTTAGTTTTATGTCTCTTTGTGTACGAAATGCTGAATATTACATTTGGAACTTTTCGAAAAAAGTGCATCAAGCATAGAGCTTTAGTTAAAATTTGAGAATTCTAGTTAGTTGGAAGGTGGTCGAAGTTTTTGTATGACAATAAGCTACACTAGGAGATTTGAATATACGTGTACTGATTTAAGTATTAAAATATATTTCTTGTCCAGGACAGAGCTCTTGTTTAATCTTAAACACTGTACCTGGGCGACAAGTGGTCAAAAGTTGGACTGATGGCACTGGGAAACAGTCGGGCATATTTAGGACTGGACGATAAATCGATGTAACGCTTTAACGCATATATCAGTAGGCCGATGTAGTGACTTTCGTTTTAGGCGATGCATCAGAAATCTGATTTAAGCCGCCGGAATTAGATTACAATCGCGGTTTAACGATTTAATATGCAAGGATCCTTGACTAGGCTAACGCTGTTATCGCACTAACGAAGACGATTTTGATTTCGTCTAGCTGCAGAGATGTAGATACCGTTTTGTTATTAAGATGATGTTAGTTTCGTGATATTGAATGACGAAGAGCGAATTGAATCAGAACTCCCGGTTTCGTGCGAGGATCAGCGTTGTAATATAGAACGCAATGTATAGTTTCTTTAAGTCCATTTTTGCCTTTCGGATTTTGCGTTTTTTGAAGATTATTTTCAATGGGACTTACGTCATTTTGCGATCGTTGTGCATTTTGTTTCGTCGGAATTGTCGGGTTTCTTGTAAATTATTTTCAGTGAGACTTTTGCAGCAATCGTTTCGTTCTGCATTATTTCATACCATTTTTTTCTGTCTGGGTTTAACGATTCTTGTCAATTATTTTTAGTAGACCTGTTATTTTCCGATTGCTGCAAAATCGCTGTTATCTTAAATTTTCGTTCTGAACTCAATAGATCAAATCAGTGATTTTTTTTTCAATTATTGTTTTTATTTTAAGCGACAAAATTTAATAGGGGTATTTTGTATTTAACTTTGTTATAAAAAGTTAGTTTTTTCAAATTTACTAAATGTAGTTAAGTATATTAACTTTATTGTTTTTCAACCAATAAATGCTCAGTCGTTTTTAATTATAAAAAAATTAAAACAGAGCTTACCTTTATTTAATTTGTTTTTATTTTTGAGGAAATGAAGACAAAGCTTTAAAAAAAATTGGTTATTAGTTAAAACAAATTTTTTTTTAATTAAATAAAAAGTTCAGTAATGTTTTGACGTTTTTAATAATTTAACATTAGTACTTACGTATTTTTTTAAAATTTTTATTAAAATTCTTACAATACTTGTTTGTTTTATAATTTGTTCGATAGTCAGTATCATTTCTAAACAAATAAATCCTTAGTCGATTTTATTTTCAAAAATGAAAATAATAATAAATAAGTAAAAATATTTTTACATTTATTAAGTGCAGAATTTGACCATTAGTTAATACTACTTTTTATTATTTTAAATAAGAAAATAAAAAAAAGGTCTAATGATGTTTCAAAAGCATGTTTTTTTTCAACAAATAATAATAATTTTTTTTTCTTTCCTAAAGTTAACATTTCTGTGGTTTGTTTTAAAATTTTAAGCGACCAGAAATCTCTTTATTTCAATCATTACGTACTTGTTATATTATCACCAAATACTAAATGAACTTTGAGAACTTAAAATAGTTGAAAAGAGGTTGGAATTTCCACTTAATTCGGAACTGAAACCCTACCCATTGCAAGGATGAAACAGACGATTAAAACTGAAAATAGTAGTAATAAATAAAAAGCTAAAATCTTAAAAAGATATATCAACTACTTATATAAATACAACAAAAAACTTGTTTTCCCAGTGTGATGAATTTCTTTTCGCGATAAATTCTATTTGAAGCGAACAGACAACACTCCAATAGAATCATAACGTATAAAACTTTTTATATTATCACCAAGTACAAGACTCCAAATGAAATTTGAGCATTTTAAGTAGTTGAAAAGAAAGTGGAATTTGCATTTAATACGGAAATGAAATCTTACACATAGCAGGGATGAAACAAACGATTAAAACTGAAAATAGTAGTACTAAATAAAAAGCTAAAATTTTAAGAAGATATTAAAATTGGCAACTTTTCTAGTATTGCTTTAATAGTTTAGTATTGAAAACAAATGCGAAGAAAGTTTTCGCTTTAAATATAATAATTTGTAGTGTAAATCCTGGTGGTAGTTTTCGACTAATTATTAAACAGATTGAATAAATTAAATTGAACCGAGTGTCTACCATTTCTTGCGTTTTAAATGGTCCGTAGCATCACTGCCTCGGAATCCGATTAATTTAAAAACAACATTGAATGGAAATAGCTAAATTAAAAACTGGTAGTAAGATTGTGATTCAAGCATTTCCGAAACTACACACTTTGGTTGATAATTCTTGGCAACACACTAGCAAATGCGACCTTAGACAGTACTTTCAAAGTGAAGTGATTTAGTTCAGCTCTTTTTTCGTTTTAAGAACAGAGGTTGCTAAACGTTTAAAAGCAATTAGTTTTACATTTCCAGTGCATACCTGCCAATGTTTAATTTTCTCCAAAAATGATTTTCCCCAGTGTTTACAATTTCAAACAAAAATATCTTTTTTTTTTATTTGTCACAGAGTTGAAAAGTAATTAACGCAAATAATTAACCTGAACCTTTATAAATATTAATCCATTTATATGTAAAAGAGGTAAAATTCATTTTAAACTAAATTTAGATATCCAAGAAATTTAAAGGGAGCATAAATCTTACTTTAAATTTAAATGTAAAAATTCAATTTTAAATCAAATACTTAAAAGTTGGTAGCTATACTATGGGTTGGTAACATTTAATGGGAAAAGGTTAAGAAGATTGAATTTTCCTCCGTTAGTTAACAAATCAAATCTGATACCTATCTACAACATCATCGATATGATGTAAGACTTGTCAATGCAATTTATTTTTCTGAAATAAACTGAAAGCAGCATACTTTTGAAAACGTTTTAAATTTTTTTAAATAAAAGCGTGACCGGTCTCGTCATATGCTGCCATTTTGTTAATTCTGACGATAGGGGAACAAGTGTGTCGACCACTGTAATTTGATTATTACTATGGAAAACATAGAAAGGAAGAAGTAAATGTTGGTAAGAATAATAAATAGGAATGTACCGACAATACCGTTATCCGATATCGTTGTCTCAAATGAAACAAGCGATAAACAACAGTTGCCGATAAGCAATAATCGAAAGAACAAACGCAGAATGCCAATTGATGACAGAGTGTCTGATTTGTTCGAGTTATGAAAAATAAAATACTAGAATATTTCATAAATATATATCTCATATTTTTTCTTATAGCATACCTGCCAACTTTTANATAACGCAAATAAATAACACGTACTTTTATAAATATTAATCCATTTATATGTTGCTGTAGTCAAAATCATTTTAAACTAAATTTAGATATCCAGGAAAGTTAAACGGAGCATAAATTTTACTTTCAATTTAGATGTAAAAATTCAGTTTTAAATAAAATACTTAAAAGTTGGTAGCTATGCTATGGGTTGGTAACATTTAACCGGTTAACGCCCAGCGTCCTATATTTAGGACAGTTCCTTTTTTCAAAAATATTCATTGTGATGGAAAACTTTTTTCATTTATCTGGGTGAATTAAAAGATTCTCAGATACCATAATTTATGAAAGATCTCTGACTAGATCTAGAATTAAAAGGAGCAAGTACTTTTCGATCTATCAAAGACTTTTTGAATGCCCTAACAGTAGAAAAACCAATTAATTTCGATAATATATTATAATCCATAAAACCACTTCTTGTATCATTTCAATATATAAAGTCGGGACAAAACGGGTTAATGGGAAAAGGTTAAGAGAATTGAATTTTCTTTTGTTAGTTACCAAATCAAATCTAATACTTATCTACAACATCATTGATATGATGTAACACTTGTCAATGTAATATAACTTTCTGAAAAAAACTGAAAGCAGCATACTTTTGAAACTGTTTTATATTTATTAGAAATAAATTGGGAAACTTTGAAAGGAAGAAGTAAATGTTGGTAGGTACACATTACATTAGTATCTAGCAGCCATTTAAAAAAAACGGTTTTTTCAATAGAGTAAATAATATTAAAGTTTTAATGCCTTGTCAGAAGGAAGGGGGGAGTGCTATGTGAAAAACACCCATTTAAAAAAGTGGTACAACATATTTGATTATTCAAGCGTATATTTGCTATTGTTACAAATCATCTTAATTACAAAATGCACTGCGTAGTTGCACTCAGATTAAACTAATGATTTTGATTGAACTTAATGTTTGATTAAACTAATTCGATTTTTAAATAAATCCTGAAAATAAAGCACTCAGTCGATCATTTTCTTTCTGCTGGTAAAATGAAAGCGCTCTTTTCAAAAGGTACTAGGCAACATAGTTACACTCTTTTAACACTAGGTTTATGGGACGCGTCATTTTGACGCATTTCGAATTTTATAAGGAAAATTACAAGACCCGTTTGCATTTTTACTTTATCTCTTGTATAATGACTTTTATCCATTGATTGAGGTAAATATATGTTGAAGTCTATTTTCTTCAGAAGCGTTGAAATATTGAAATTCTCTGGTATACCTATCGCTACGGATATGCGTCAATTTGACGCGATCGCATCAATATCACATCAATAATAGCAATGTACCGACAATACTTCGATCCATTATCCGATATCGTAATCTCAAATTAAACAAGGGATAAACAGCTATTGCTGATAAGCAATAATGGAAAGAACAAACGCAGAATGTCAATTTATGTCAGATTTGTTCAAGTATTGAAAAATAAAATACTAGAATATTTCATAAATATATATCTCATATTTTTTCTTATATAATTACATTGCTTTTTAAGTGCAGCGATGCCAACAACTCCGGACACGCGAAAATAATTTAAAAAACGGTAAACAACTACGAAGTAAATTTTGCGAATAAAAAGTGGTGAATCATATAAGCCTACGAATTATTTAGAAATAGTGGTGCATAAAAACCTACTAAATGAATTTATTAAATCAAGAATCACTATTGGTAAACTACCACTTTAAAATATATATTTGCTGTCCCGAGCAATTTGGCATCTCTGTAACAGCTGTTATATGCATTCGTTCATGCGTCAAATTGACGCGCGTTCGTAGAGATAGGTATATAAGAAACGTCCGTAAACCTAGTGTTAAACGTCCTTTAAATTTATATTTTTATAGCGCGTTGCATTTATATTCTCGCCAATAAAATTAATCTAATAAACTGGATTGATTTTATCTCATTAGAAATAATATATTTTAATAAAATATAAATAAAAAACGCACTGAGTGTTTGAATTACATATGACAAATTTTCATTTCATAATAATAAAAAAAAAAATTCTATTATGCTTGTTATGGTTTGGAAGAATTTACGACGTTGATGTATCCATTAACTTTCTTTTTAAATTGTAAATCATAAGAATAGATTATTGAGAAAAGTTGCTGAAATGTTACAAGCAAAAAACTAAGTTTCTAAACAGTCATTTCATTCATTCTTAATCAATTTCATTTTTTAATGCCTTATATCTCCCTGGTTTATTTATTTTATAGAGATTGTCTAAGCCAGCAATTTTTTTTTCTCCAACTGATAGGCAATCAAAGTCGGGAAAATGATAGTAAGAGACCATAATCATTTGACCTCTACCCTCTAATGGTTTCTTACTTCACACTATCTATTCTAAATAAGTTCTCTGAAAGTAGATATTCGAAATGTAGATTGTTTCAGTGATTAAGAGTGTTCCATATCTCTATAGATGTTTAAGTAACTGGACAGTTACAAAAGATTTTCTTTTTTATCCCATTTGAAGTTGAGATTTCGGGGAACGAAAATGATTCAACTGAATTTAGCTTTCTTTGTTTTCGGAATATTATGTTGTGTTACGCGTAAGTATATCTTTAGTTCCCGACACTTCTAAAGATATTTTTTATCCTATTGTAATAAATTGTGCATCAATCTGCCTTGTTTAAAAGATTCTGTATTTCCCCAAATTATTATGGTAAATTTATGACTAGTCACGTGAAAGTAAAAACAAATAATAATAACTTGTTAACAGAAACGTTTAATATATTTCTCTGATTACTGAACATGAATGCTTTAATGCCTCAGAAAAGTTAAATTGGCAACGAAGTAAAACAGGTAAGCAGAATAATTTTAATTTTGTTAGTACTTTAAAAGATTTTTTTGTCATCTAATCATTCATTACTGTTTATTTTAATATTTCTCTAATTGTAAATCGGTTAATTTTGAATAAATCTATAGAAGTTCTGTGCTTTTGGCGAAAAATTACAACAGTTAAAAATTCATAGCATAGTTGGTTGTTAAAGCAAGAATTTTCAATCCAGGGTATCTATATAAAAAGTAAAATAGCATAAAGTGAATGCATCAATAGGAGTCTATTTAAATCGACGGAATTGATTTTGATTCCACTTTATTTAGACACATCTAATCCACGTGTAGCTTTTCTTTTTGTTGAAGATATTTAATCTAGAAGTATATTGTAGACTTACAAACTTATATTATTCATTTATTAAATTCTATTCTTCAACTTTAAATTCTACATTTTGCCAGCGTTCGAACAAACCGCCGTTCAGTTATCAAGCTGTCATAATTTTATTTCTTTACTAGCTGCCTTCGGTGATCAGCTGTATATTTTAATTATGTAGAATTTTAATTATTTCGAGATTTAAAATCGGTCAGTCAGAAATTAAGACCATATGTAAATATAAAAGTCATTTTGTTCAAGATAGAGTTGGATTAACTTTTTGATCTCTTAAATGTTCATGTGGTTTGCATCCATATGAAGTGTTAATTTGTGATTAAAATGGACTTTTGATTGCTATTCAGTTTTATTTAACTTTCTATTTGTTGCTAAAAAATTTCTTTTTCTTAATATTTATACCCAGGACTACTGACACACATTACTGATCTAGGCCGTGAACATGTAATTTTATTATTTAAGGACTAATGTAATATATAAAAAATAATATTATTTATAAATATAATATTATATATAAATATAATATTATATATGAATATAATTTATGTTTTCTGCATGTTGCCGCTGATGAAGCCCAAGATTTATATTTATTCGATGTTTCACCGTCTTAAATTTTTTAAACATTTCGTAACATTGCTTTTTGCTTGACAGTGCAACGTTGTATGCGAGCAGCTCTGCGTAATCTCTAATTTCTGGCAGAGTTTGAAAATTATAAGTTAATATTAAAGGGAGTTACGGAGTGAGTCGTGTGTGTAGATCCGGAGAAGAAATTTATCCGTTTTTCAGCTATTATTCCCTCTTTCCCAAAGAAAAATAATTATTTTTATATATATAACACTTTATTCACGTTGAAATATCGAAAAATAAATTTTAAAAAATAAAATAAGGTAAACAGAAAAAAAAATTAAAAACTAATCCGTGACCAGGACCGAACCCCTGACCACCGAGTCTACAAACTTCTTTACCCATGGCTCTAACAATTACACCACGACTCACACATTGCTTCTACGAATATATAGCTTGAAGAACAAACTTATTAGGCTAATTAACAAAATCTATTTTGGCCCATTATGTGCCCCCTAATTAGTGTATAAAAATTTCCTTTGGTACGATTGTTTGCTCCCAAAATGATCTAAAAAATGCAATGCTTATGCAAAAATGCTTAGCAATGAAACAGAAAACGCCATGTCAATCAATGAAGCCATTCAAACGCTATTAAAGAAAGTATAATATGTAATTCCGGTTTTCAACAATGCAATTTCGTATTTCCGGTATTGTGCCCTGCCCAAAAGATGTTGGCCCCCTCTAACCGGCCTATAACTCTCCAAGCTTCTGATTCGGTTCAGACATCGAAATAACGCTCTTACTGATGTGGATCATTCTTTTCCGCTTTGTTTTACATTAAGTTGAAAGCCAAATCAAATTCGCTGTCAAATAAGTGTCGTCTTCGACGTTTAACTCCTAGTTTGCCTACTGCGAAGTTTGAAAATAACAATTTTTTTATAAGACTTATTTTTTTATAAGACTATTTTTTTAATATCCTTTAATTGTTTTGAGCAGGCAGTGTATTACAGAACGCGCAACAAACAACATTTTTGAAAAGAGCTATAAGCTTTCAAACATCATTGATGTTATGTTTAAAATATTTGACAAAACTGAATTGTTGAAAGACTATTTAAGTCAATGGCTATCCTCTAGTCTAAACCAATGAGAAAATTCTATTTTTTAGTTTCTCTGGATGAAAAAACTGAAAACTGTCTTCGTCGTTTGTTTATATATATATTTTTTTCTAATGGCAGGCACTGAATTTGAATCTTTTGCCTATACTATGCCAGAATTGTTGCTCATTTGGCGTTACCCAGTGGGCACCTGTGAACCAAAGTCACGGAGGCGAGCAACATTGCCCACGCCACACTGCCACAAACCCGTTTATAGGGTGGGCCACATTCACACATCATACACACACACAACAGAGGACAGCACAAAGAGAGAGAGAAACATCCATGCCCAGAGCGGGATTCGAACCCACAGCCTATGGCTTCGCAGTCAGGCACGCTAACCGCTCGGCAACCGCTGGCCGGCGTCGTTTGTTTATAATTGTACTCATTTTGCTTGGTGATACATGTCGTAATTTTTGTGCCTACGGTATTTCCTTCACCTTGAACACACACGCATAGACTTACACACGCACAAATTCTTTGTTATATTAGATGTGTAGGATATCAGAGATGGCAACTTTCTCCGAATAACGAATACATATATTCGAGTGGTATTCTTTTAACGCATGATTCTTTGTTTATTAAATTCGATTTATAGGGCTTTTATTCCCCATTACTTCTAAATAATTCTAAACCTTAATCCACTTTGTTTGTAAACCGTGCTGAGTTTTCTAAAACGTTGGCAAAAATAACCAAAAACATGCAAATTTTAGCTTGTAGTTCTTCACCGTTTTTTAGAAAGTAGTTTATTTTATTATTTTCTCTTTTATCTATATCTCTGATATAGACAAAAGATATATATGTACTGCTGATTAAAATTATTCTAATCAAAATTATAAAGAGGTCCGAAAGCACATATACAACAAGAAGTGCACAGATACAAAAGCAAAAACGAGTGAGCAAATCATTTCATTCTAGTTCCTTGGAGAGAAAAATGACTCCATGATGGCGAAGATTTTTTTAACTGTTTTAACATGTACATACAATTATTTCTTACCTGACAAAATGCAAATATTGAAGGGTTAATTCATGATTAAGAATAGTAAGAGATTATTCAAAACTCCCCAAAAACCAGCTATTATTGAAGAGAAGTTAACTACTAGTTTCTCCCTCTTTTCCCGTTTTATTTTCATACTTGTTTATCATTCCAAGCACTATATAAAAATACAACAGAAATTTTACTATACTTTAAATATATAACTGAGATCGCGTATGGCGGGGTTTCTCCGGAAGAGTTGACAGTTTCACTTAATTTGAACATTTTGAAGTCACTTGTCAAGATTCTGAAAGTTACGATTTCTTAACACGTTCACGCCGCGGTGACCCACCGGTGGGTCACGCTAGATTGTGTCATCTTGGCAGCGCACCGGAGTAAAAACTGGTAACAATAAATTTCATTTTTTAGTTTTTTTCCGGGAATAATGAAAATCCATAACTACCAATTGTTTTTAACGGATGCAATTTTTATATTGAATTGCTTCTCCGCCGTGATAAATTTCCTTACAGTGAATTGTTATTGTTGAGAATAAATTAACTCCTCCCGAATATTATCTAATATTGAAATAGTTCTTCTACCAGTATTTTCACTTCTCCCGGCGTGAACGTGTTAAAGAACTAATACTGTAAACGAGTGATTTCGGATAGGAGTTCCGCGGGACCCAAAGGTTCCACCAAAGTGTTACAGGGTTCCTCAGATTTAGAATTTTTTTAAATCATTAAGGGTTAGTAAAATTTGTAGATATATTTATCTGAACAAATCCATAATTTGTTCAATATTTCGGTTACGTTTGTTTATTATTAAAGTTAAATATCAATGAGAAAAAAAATTAGTATTTTTTTAGAAAAATCCTACAATTTATTTAATTAATTTCAAAAATGATATGCATTTATATGAAAGCATGTATTAGTTTTTCTCATCGAACTTAAACTAAAGTAAGTTAAAGTAAACTAACCAAATTTAAGAATAGTTTTCATGAGAAACAGAAATAAGAAAAAAGTTTTTCTGAGAACTACTTTTTTGCTTAAAACCATAATTCAGCTAATTTGATTTAATTTCAACTTATGCATGTACCATAAACTAACTCAGAAATAAACTAGAAACCACTCAAAAACCCATGAATTCAACTGCCTCACATGAAACCTAATTTTAAAATGTTTTTTTCTTAACCAATTAAAAAACTCGAGATAAAATATTTTTAAACTAATCAGTAATCTTGCTATCGTTAGTATATAGTTACAGCTGCTAATGAACTTAAGTTATTAAGCAGGCTTCAAGGTTTCGTCAAAAGAGGAGATCATATAGGGTTCCATCACCGAAATAAAATGGAAAGCGCTGCTCTAAAACAGTAGTTCCCAGCCTTTTTAGTTGCGCAGATAACCAATTTAAAAAAAAAAAACGAAAAACTTTAACGCCTAACTACACTGCTCAAAATTATTAGGGGAGCACATGGCTCCCCTAATTCTTTTGAGCAGTGTATAATGCTACCAAAATACATTAAATATACACTGCTCAAATAAATTAGAGGAGCACATGGCTCCCCTAATTTTTTTGAGCAGTGTATTTAATGTTCCAGTCAAAAATATAATAACAAATACACATCTATTATATGGGATACGAATACGAATAAATTTACGATATATACAAATAATGTACACATATGTCAGTAAT